CCCCCCCCCGCCAACAGGTGTCCTCTTTTTTGGAACTGGAAATATGGTAACCCTAACTTAAATATAATTGCAGGGATCTTGTAGTATATCGCTTGACTGCATGCCTCTTCTGATTTATCAAAAGCATAAAGAAAACACAAAATTTCTGCAACAGTTTTATATAGATTTGTATTTTTAGGGAGCATTCTTTCTAGCTTGTATTAATACGAGAATAAATTCACAGCTGAGTCTAGTTGTTAGCCTCAAGGTGGACTACAGCCAACAGCATCTATGCTTCAAAGTACTCATGCAGCATCAATGACTTGTTTTCTCTTGCAAGTAGAGTTCTGTATCATATGAGCACTCTCTTTCCTTGGTTGTCTGTGGACCCCTTTATAGACAAGCAGGGAGACATGGGATGGAGTACTTCTCATACTATGTCATCCAGTGCTAGTCTCAGGAAACTAGAATGGTTTTTACAAGGTTTTCACTCCAAGCACCTGGATCTGAGGAAGTTCATTATATACTTTGAAAGAGCTCCAGTTACAGGGAAGTAACTCTTTTCTTTTTAAAGCTCTTAAGAAAATCTGCACTAGCATAGTGTATCTTATGCATTAATTGCTATGTGATCTGTTTTGCTTTACCTCTTAATAAATTGCTGTGTAACTCACAGGTCTGCACAAATGATTGATTCTGTTCAGACCGTAAAGAAAAATATAGAAGGAATAATACTGACATCTTGTTACCCTTATCTAGTCCAAAAATCCATATACCTTCAAAATTATTGTCTGGAGTAAAATTTCTCATGCTTGCTAAAATTTCTCTGACTTACAGGCATCTTGGCCTGTAAATGAATCTCTAATTAAATGCTTTTGGTAACTGATTGAATAGGTAATAATCACAACACACCTGTTGGTCGTCAGAGATCACAAGTTTATATAACACAAAGAACTTTTTCTAATGTGAAGTTTCTATTCAAAATTCTTCCTTTCTGCATGCAGCAGAGATTTGTTTATGCTACCTATGCATTTTGTATTACATTAGCAACTCCATGTTTTACTGTACATCAGTAGTCTGGGGAGACATTGTGCAAATGTGCACTTCCTTTAGCTGGAGTTATCAGGACTGATTCGCTAGGGTATTTCACAGAAATTCTAGTCTTGCCTCTTAGACTTAATGGACAGTGTATAATTTTACTAGTGCCTTTATGGATCCTCAGCTTTGGAATTAGTGAAATAAGGTTGTGCCTCTCTTTCTTCCCCCCTCCCCCCCCCCCC